GTCCTTAACTTGAGGAACAAGTAAAGTATAATTTTCCAAATTCCATCATGAACAACACTCATGATAAACTAGATGTTGTATCATCTAGAGAGTGTGAGGTTTAAGATAGAATTAAATGTGGTTTTGCATTATCACAATTTTTAGGAAAAAGAAAATGATATAAAGTGCTCTTCAAATCACAGCACGAGGTTATGGAGACTTCTTGCTAGTCAAGGACACATTGCTATCCAGAATCATCACAGGGTCATGAGCAGCATCTGCATGTAGAACTGTAATAGCCAAGATCTCTTAACAACTACAGGACATTTGAGATTGAGATGTGTGAGTCCTCAAACATTCTGCTCCTTCTTAAAGACTGTTGTGGCTATTCTAGAAGATCTGTATTTTCAAATGGTCTAGGGTCAACTTTTGCATAGCCAGATTTCAGAGTATTGCTACATTAACATATTAACTTTTGCAATCTATGAATACAGGATTTATTTCTGTTTGTTTTGCTCTACTTAATTCCTTTCTTAATGTTTTGCAGATCTCATTGTAGCTATATTTCAGCTCGTGATTACTTTGATGTATGCATTCTTGAATACTTAATAATTTTTGATGCTACTGTAATTCAGATTGTTTTATCTCCTTTTCAAATTCTTTGTTGCTAGTGTATAGAAATACAATTGATTTCTTTAATGCTGATATTGCATTCTACAAGCTTGGTGAACTCATTTATTGAGTGGATGTCTTAAAAATAAATATATACATATATATGGCATACACAATTAGAAATTATTTTTCTTTACCTTGAGGATCATGGAGTGTAATATACATGCCCTACATATGAATTGCTGTGGTTAAACAGTTTAGACATTTGAGATGGATGTTGAATATTGATTTGTGAAGTCAATGTAGACAGCAGCATTTAGAAGAATTGTCTATGTCCTTGATGATAGAATGTGCAGACTTATTTCATAGACTTATTCACACATAGATTCAGTGAAGTAGGAAAAGCATCTTCAGCCCTTCCCCAAATGGTTTACAATGATATATCAATTCCTCATCTCTACAAGTATTAAGTGTATGCCAAGTACTTACTCCAATGGTTGGCATATAATAAGCATGCAGTAAACATTAGCTCTTAAGAATTGTGATACTGGGTAATGAGGCTCTAACTTAAAAAGCATCACAGACTCAAAAAAAAACCCTTCAGTGATCACTATGGCTTTCAGAAAATAAAATCCAGTATTTTTGCCATGACCTTTACTTCTGATCATCTTTTCCATCCTATCTCCTGGTCCAATTTCTCCACATACTGAATGCTCAAAATATATTTGCTAGCTTTAAATCCACCCATATGAAAAGTTCTGTTTTACCCTAGACCTTTACACGTGTTGAACTTTCAAAGTAGAACATAACTTCTTCCTTCTATCTTATCTAACTCCTACCCTGACCCTTCTAAAACTGTACCTCCCAAATAATCACAACAGTCTCTTGTGAGATGTTTCTAAGTACCAGCATTATAATACACCCATCCTCCAGGATCCATGGGGGATCAATTCAAAATGCACCAAACATACTAAAATGTGTTCATGCTTAAGTCCCTCACATAAGGTATTGTGGTATTTTTATATAACTTATGTGTGTCCCCCCCCAATCTACTTTAAATAACCTCTTAAATTACTTACCATACCTAATGCAACATAAATACTACATGACTAATGGTTTGTTGTATTATCTTCAGGAATAGGAAGGGAAGGGGAAAAGCTTTATGTATCTTTAACACACAGGAATTTTTTTCAAATGTTTTTGACTCATGATTGTTTGGAACCCACATATAGAAGACTGTTTGTTTTACAACAGTCTGTGGACCATTGTTTATGTTAGGAAAAACCTACAAACTGTTGACCATTCCCATGCCCACTAAGAGCCAAGGTAGCCCTTAGCACAATAGTCGTCTAAAGCTTACCTAACATAAATATCTGAAATTGAGCTTCCTCAATCATAATCCCTGGAGAAGTTAGGTTTGGCAAGCCTCACTGGAAGTAGATACGTGAAATCCTTTCATAGTGAGAGAGGTGAGGATAAGAGCACAGAATCCAAAATAACAATGAAAGTTCTAGAGGAAACATGGATTATACATACTTCTCTTAAAAACCAACTCAACTACCATAAAATTTAAGCAGAATTTATTAAAACATGAATGCTGGGAAAAATGGTAAGGAAAGTCTCAGTCTACACTAACTGAAATGGAGAAAGACGTAGACCAGTTGCCAGATCCAGGATAAGAGCACAGAATCCAAAATAACAATGAAAGTTCTAGAGGAAACATGGATTATACATACTTCTCTTAAAAACCAACTCAACTACCATAAAATTTAAGCAGAATTTATTAAAACATGAATGCTGGGAAAAATGGTAAGGAAAGTCTCAGTCTACACTAACTGAAATGGAGAAAGACGTAGACCAGTTGCCAGATCCACAGTCCCTTAATGAAGCAAAAGTAATTGCTGGGATT